GAAGGGAAGGGAAGGGAAGGGAAGGGAAGGGAAGGGAAGGGAAGGGAAGAGAAGAGAAGAGAAGAGAAGAGAAGAGAAGAGAAGAGAAGAGAAGAGAAGAGAAGAGAAGAGAAGAGAAGAGAAAAGAGAATCAAGTCAGGCACGGTGGTGCATGTCTTTAATCCTAGCACTTGGGAGGCAGGCAGATATTTCTGAGATCAAGGCCAGCCTGGTCTACATAGCAAGTTCCAGACCAGCTGTGGTTACAGGGGAACCCTGTCTCAAAAAGACAAAGACAGAGAAAGAGAGGGAGAGAGACAGACAGACAGACACAGAGACACAGAAAGAATCTACAAAGAAAAGGACAAGAAATTGACAGGAGTTGAAGGTGGGAGTGGGATAGAAATAATGCAAATACAATACTCATGCATGAAATTCTCAAAAATAAAATACAATATATAAAAATGAACCTACAAGTTGTTGGGGATGTAATCACAGAAACAGAACCCTAAACTTTGGCAATGCTGGAAGCTTGGTTCCTTCAAGGAATTCAGTTTAAGAACTAGCAGATAAGATTATTAGCCCCAGGGCTGAGGATCCAGGCCCTCCCCAGCCTGTCTCTCACATCCTCTCCAGTGCTTACCAGCTCAGTACCTCCATGATCTATCACTAAGTATCTCTAAGTTTCAATTACCTCCCCGCCATCCGGACCCCCACCCCCCAAAAAAAAAATCAGTCTGAGATTTATCACTAAACATATGAAAATCTGCTGGGTCCTTTATTCTTGTCTCAAGTCCTTGGCACTAGAGCTGGCACAGGTGATGGCACCCTAAAGAGCTCTAATAGTTTGCTTAAATATGCCTTGGCTGGAAACCTTCCAGCCTTAGAGTCTAGACATGGCTGCTTTCTGGTTGTGTGACTGCTAACCAGCTATGTTCTCTGGATGGGCCTTGGGCAAATGGGGAAGGCATCTGGAGATAACCCCCAAGGATGCTGAGAGGATCAACTGGGGCACCTATGAACAATGAAAAGTTCTAAAAGACAAATGTCAGCCACTATCATGACAGAGCTGTAAACCCATCAGAACTTGGCTACCGTAATTTGTTTCAGAGACTTTCCCCTTAAGGCCGTTTTTATTCTGGTGCCACAGATTTTATATCATGTGTGCTTCCGGGGCTTCCGGGACAATCAGCCAGCTTTTGTGGGACAACTTCAGAATGCACACTAATAAATAAGCGTCTGTCCCTCTTAAGTAATCAAATTTGGGTCCCATTAGAAAGTCTTTAATAACTTTGATAGATGAACTTATTTAATCAAGAAAATGTGTTTCATCTCTGGCCTCGTGGCCTCTTTAGTGGATGTGTTTTACAGAGAACTCTGTCATGTACTCTGGGCAGCCCTCCTCTTGGAGAAAACACAACACTGTTCAGGGATCTCTGCAGTGGTTGAACCAGTGAGCATTCAGGTGGCTCCAGGGAACAGGGTGTGGAGTCAGCTTCCATTAAGCTCAGGGTATTCCGAAGGCACAGAGGTTTGACCTAGTAGCTCCCCAAGACTGCAGCACACATTTCAAGGAAGGTTTCCCAATTAAACTTGGGATTCCAGAAATCTCCAATGTCCCTGCCGAATCTACTCAAGGAATTCTGATTCACCCAATAATAACAAGAACCAATCAGCTCACCTTTCTCCCCACTCCCCCAAGAAGTTTGTTCAGAGCACTGTTACCTAGCCTGCCAAGACTCAATGTAGGTGGACTTCCCAGACATGTCTGAAATGCCTCCTACATACACGGAAGACCTTTTCTTCCAGCAGAACACCTGGTACTTTCCAATTAGTGTTTCTTCTAAAGGGAATGCATTAGAGTCTTTTCAGACTAAAGAGACTTTTTCAATCAGATAAAACTACTTTGAAAAGGAGACAATAATCAAGGAAGGGTCTGGAGGTATAGATAAGTGGTCAAATGAGTGCTTAGCATGTACAGGGCCCTAAGTTCAAACCTAAGCAGCAAGCAAATAAAGGGGGGGTGGTGGGAAAATAGAATTGATAACTGTGCTCCATAAGACTGAGCAGTTACCTGCATTTGCACTATATTTATAAGGAAAGAAATACTGACACCAACACAGAGTCAGTTTCTTTCAGAAGAAGGCACAAACTAGCAAATACTTTCTCTCAGGCCCTCTCACTGCCCAATCTCAAAAAGTCAAGCTGAGATATATGTTGTTTTAATTTGCTCTCAAGTAAGCCCTACTGTGATAGGAAACTATTTTGACCGTCTGTGTAATACAGTCATGTGGCACATGTATTACAGCCATGTGCCACATAATGACATTTTGGTTAAGAATAGAGTGTATACATCAGTAATCTCTATGATTATAATGATGTGACATCATAGGCATCTTACTTTATGTAAGCACACTCAAGGTTTGCAGGGTGACAAAAATCGTCTGGTCACAATTGCTCAGGATATATCTTAAGCAATGGATGATTGCACATGAAGGTGCAGGTCAAGTGGAACTTTCATTCTAATTTGTTTCTGAGGGGGTTTAGTTGACAATCAAATGAGCCATTCTTGACTCTAGTGCTGCCAAGCTCAGAGCTGGTTTCACTCTCCCTACCCATAGCCCTGAGTACAGCCGCATCTCTCTCATTACTCCTTGACATGGACCACTGACTACTTCCATGTTGCTCAGAATCCTTCCACCACAGCACCTGGTGTGGGAGAGACAGACCATCAACAGCTATTGAACAGCTACTGAATGAATGAGATCTTGTATAAGACAGATGGTTCAATTATCTTGAACAGTGACCTATAGTGTGATTCAGCAGGAACTTAATGTAGCATACCATGCTGAAGTCCAAACATCACATGAAACCATCAGCTCAAGAGACAGCCAGGAGCTGTCCAGATGACAGTACTGGCCCTCCCACTATCTGTTCTGGATAACAGGAGAGATGTACATAGGCGTTTATCAGAGGGTTAGGATGTTTGATTTATTGCTACTGGTGTGTTGTTTTGTTTTGAGAAGCTGAGAATCTCTGAACAACTGCTTTCTTGATGTGGTATGGAAGGAAGAGCACCAGGTCAGAGGTTCCCCATGCTGGAAAACAGGAGCTGTGCTGAGTCATCTGGACCCAGGTACTCTATGTCCATGAACTTCACCTTCTCCATATGAACAAGCAGAAGAAAAAAAACACCAACCTCCCCCGTAGCCCAGTAAATCGTGTCCCTTCTTTTTCTCTCTCCTTCTCTCCCTTAATATTCTGAAGGCCCTTCCCACTTCTCTTTTCCCTCTCCTTCCTGTTTTGCAGCTATGAGGAAACTAAAATATTATTTCATTACTTGATAGCTATTGATGGGATCAGGGTGGATCAGTGCTCAGGGAGGCTTGGAAGTAGACATTTGATAGTTACTGAA